AAAAAAAAAAAAAAAAGGAGGTAAAATTGCTGGTGTACATTGATATTGCTTGACTTATTAAAGACTAACTTTATTCACAACAGAATTGCTAAACTTTTTTCTATTTACAGCAAAATTGCTATTTGTGAAGAAACCAGTGCATTTTGTAATTTGCTTGAAGCTATAAGATTTTATAAAATTATCGGACTAGAATTAGAAAGTGTATTCAGGGATTGGCCTGTCTGATTCTATCTGGTACTCCTGTAGCTTTACACTTGCTATTTCCTAGGCCCAGAGTGTTTGTCCTACCAGCCTCTCCTTGGGTAACTCCTATTCATTCTTCAATTTTCATAATATGGCACCTCCTCAATGAGGTATTCTCTTATTCCTAGTTCACATTATGCCTTCTGGGTTTACCAGATCAGGTTTTGTTTTGTTTTGTTTTGTTTTTGTTTTTTGAGATGGAGTCTTGCTCAGTAGTCCAGGCTGGAGTGCAGTGGTCCAATCTTGGCTCACTGCCTCCTCTGCTTCCTGGGTTCAAGTGATTCTCATACCTCAGTCTCCCAAGTAGCTGGGATTACAGGCACGTGCCACCACGTCCTGCTAATTTTTTTGTATTTTTTGTACAGACGGGGTTTCACCGTGTTAGCCAGGACGGTCTCGATTTCCTGACCTGGTGACCTGCCTGCCTCAGCCTCCCAAAGTGCTGAGATTACAGGCATGAGCCTCTGCACCCAGCCCAGATCAGGTTTTTAAACTCCATATCATCATCGCTTCTCAGCCTTTTGACTAAGATCAAGTGTTTTCAGCCTTTTGGCTAAGATCATCATTCTTATCAGTTTAAACTCTGTATCAATGACTATATTTTGAAAGTAAATATCTTATTTGTATTTTCATTTAATATCTGTAAACACAGCAGCGTATAAGCTAAAAGAGGTCAATATGTCAGCCATCAGGAAAAAGATGAGTCATTCAAATTGGGTACTTTGGGCTGGTCGCAGTGACTCATGTCTGTAACCCCAACACTTTGGGAGGCCGAGGCAGGCAGATCACTTGAACTCTTGAGGTCCAGAATTCGAGGCCAGCCTGGCCAACAAGGTGAAACCCTGTCTCTACTAAAAAATACAAAATAATTAGCCAGGCGTGGTGGTGGGCACCTGTAATCCCAGCTACTCAGGAGGCTGAGGCAGGACCTTGAACTCGCGAGGCGGAGGTTGCAGTGAGCTGAGATTGCACCACTGCACTCCAGCCTGGGTGACAGACAGAGCAAGACTCTGTCTCAAAAAACAAACAATAACAACAACGAAAAAAACCAACTGGGTGCTTTGAAGATTGACAAAGAAGTAAGCAAGGTGTTAAGAAGCCACAAGAGAGAGTGCAGTATTTTGAAGCTAATACCATATATAAGTAATTACCACACCTAGGCCCAAAGGGGCAATGGGAGGAAAGAAAATCTGGAAACAGAAAGAACTTCTTCCTCTCTCTGACATATTTTTACTTTCCATCAGCCAAATTCGACCAGAAGCCAAAAGGCAAGGATCAAATTCATGTATAGATCAACCTCCTAGGAACACAGGATGAAAGAAGGGGACAGTGAATCTAGGCTGGCAAAAGTAAATATCTAGCGCAGTCCATCCCTTTTGTCCTTTGGCATGTACTATCCTTTTCACAAGTGAAAAGTCTGCACTGCATTCCAATATGGAATTTGTGAAATCACAGCCAGCTCATGGGGGTGATGCCAGTTTGTTCATAATCCTACTTTAAAACTAAAATGTTAGTTGTCACCTTCCTAGAATGTACTGGGGTAAAAAGCGAGAAGTACTTAGTTAACATAATACAAGCTGTTACGAACCTTGCTTCTGTGGCTAATCATAAGGCTTAGGTTAGTAATCACAGCTTTCTTCTAAAATTCATTTCTTAGGCCAGGTGTGGTGGCTCGTGCCTGTAATCCCAGCACTTTGGTAGGCCGAGGGGAACAGATCACTTGAGCCCAGGAGTTCAACATGAGACTGGGCAAAATGGCAAGATTCTGACTCTACAGAAAATACAAAAAATTAGCCAGGCATAGTGGCGCATGCCTGTACTCCCAACTATCGGGGAGGCTGAGGTGGGAGAATCACCTGAGCCTGGGAGGTTGAGACTGCAGTGAGCCATGATCATGCCACTACACTCCAGCCTGGGCACCAGCCTGGGCAATGAAATGAGACCCTATCTCAAAAATAAATAAATAAAAATAAAATTCATTTCTTGTTTTCCTGACTTCCATCAGCACATTGGCTGAATTCTTTACACAGTAGTATAAAGTATGCCTTTATTCCTGTGGGATCTGTGTCCTTGTGGTCTTTTCTTTATCTCATTGTCACAATTTTTAATTGACCATAGCTTGTGGGCAAAAAACATTTAGAGACTTCTCTGTTTGTTTTTTGTTTTTTGTATTCTTTAACCTCCGTTGTACAACAGACATCAAACTACCTCCTAGAAATTGGGAGCAATCACTCCAAGTAGAGGGACACTTTGCCCTGCATATTGGTTCAGTGGCATGAAAAGACTAAAATGGCCAGAAGCAGTTTTCAAGTTTCAATTGATCTGAAAAATGACATTGCTCTCTAGTGGAAACATCCACTGGGCACAAAGACACCCATTCCCTCAGAGCTCAATCAAGGTCACAGGGATAGGATACAAAATTGTCCAAATGAATCACTGAGTAATAATGAGAAGCGATACTCACACCTCTACATCTTGACTCCTAGACATGTGCATTCTGGATATAGAGAGATGGCTCTACATATTGGCCACTGTTTTGATACTTATTAATACTATCACATTGGCAATTAACTATCAACATAAGAATTTTGGGGAACACATTCAGACCATAGCAGTTTCTAAGAGGCGGAAGAAATCCAATGTATCAAATAGTGTTGAGAAATCATATAAGTTGAGGACTAACATAGCCATTTCAACTAGTGAAATGTAATAGATCAGTTTAAGTGGAATGTTGGAGAAGAAAGCAAAATGAAGGAGCGTAATAAAGAAATGAGATGAAAGAAATAAGATAGGGGTTTGATGACACTTTGAGGAAATACGGCTATAAAGTGAAAGACAGCACTATCAATAGCTGAAAGGAAAAGTGAAAGCAAGAGAACATGTCTTTCAGATGAAAGAAAGAAAAGCTTTGAATGCTGAAATGAAAGATCCCATAGAGATCAAATAGAATTTTTTAAAATAATACAGGAGAAGAAGGAAAATATTGCTGAACTATTCCCTTGAAAGAAAGAGGGTTTTAAATTATTTATTACAGAAAGTTTAGAAATTCAGACGTAGAAGACTGCATGGCAATGATAAAGGTAGAACTGGTAGGTTCAACTGTGCCAGCCTGTCTCTTATTCTTCTCAGAATCACTGTAGTGAATGTGTCAGATTAAATATTCAAAACGTCCTTTCAAAATAAGCACGAGGAAAGAGGCCTTTTTCTAGGCCTGTGACATCAAAGATACAGCTTTTCTCTCTTTTTATGGAGAAGCACATGCAGATCAACCCAATTTCCAAAAACATCCCAGCAGAAAATGCTGAAAAGCACTTTCATTCACAGCAGCTTTCTGAATGGGGTTGAGGAAGGCCCTAAGCAAAGGAAAAAGAGAGATTCAATTCAAGGAGACTTGAGACAGAGGCAGTTTGCATTCTCCTTCTTACTGGCTGCATTTTCTTTGATAGAGCTCATGTCTTTGATACTGAGAAAGC